TTTTTTTAAATGTAAGGAGCAGAAAGTACAGATATTTGTGTAAAAATGTAAGGAGTAGAAGTAAAAAGTCGCCATAAAAAAATAAGTAGTAAAGTAAAGTAAAAATATCTGAAAAATCTACTTGAGTACAGTAACGAAGTATTTGTACTTCGTTACTTCCCATCTCTGCCTGTCATGAAATGGGAAGGATGGACCCAGCATTCAGGCGAGTCAGGCAATGGGTAGTTTCAAAATGTTCAATGACAGAAATTAAAACCTACAGAATGGAATGCTGGCTGCTGTGGACCTGCAGTGACTGCAGCGGGAGGGCAGAGAATTGTTCATCACTCTGGTTTAACAGTTCAGTCCATCCTTTCTGAGGAAGGCAGGATCAGCTGATGACTGCCAAACGAGATGCAGCACTGAGCCGTCTAGAGTGTCCCCAGTGCAGCAACTGCAGGAGCAGGCAGGAGACCGATCCAGGTCAGAGAAACAGTTCAGAACCAGACAGTTCGGAGATCCAGGAGTCCAAAACCCTACCAGGGGTTCCGATCCATACAGGAACCGACTGATCCAGGGTTCCAGGAATCCTCAGATTATGATGGCAGGTTTAGAGTCCGATGAGTCCAGCAGTGAGCTCAGATGGAGACAGGCTGGCTCAGGGGTTGAGGGGGACAGAGACAAGACATGGTAGCAGTATAACTTCAGAAACTTCAAACTGTACCCATCCAGAAGCCACTGACCTCGCCCATGTTCCGAGCCAAAAACCTGAGGGCTCCGCGAAGAAGGACCTGAACCTGAGCTCCCCTCGCAAGCCGAGCCAAAAACCTGAGGGCTCAGTGGAAAAGAGCCAGACAGCAGACAAACACCAAACCCTCCAAGAGTCAGGACATGAACCAGGGACTTTACTAAACTCAAAAAACAAACATGAATAAGAAACGCGAAAAAACAAGAATAATGATCGGGCCCCAATAGCTGGGCTGAACCGTGTATATATATAGCAGAGGGAACAGGTGGATAACATAAATGATAATTAGAGAACAGGGAGGGGAACGGCAGGTGAATGAAGTGAGTAATCAGATAAGCTAACGGAGCTGCCATCATGGCATACCCAGCTTTCCCGCTTTTATCATTATCTAACAGTTAGATAATGATAAAAGCTTTTCAGCTTTGTTATCAATCAGATAAAACTTCATCGCTCATTAGACATTCTAACATTATAGATGTTCCTGATTCGGCACACAGTTATGTTATTACCCTCATCATTGTACCCACGATTTTTTAAGTCATCTTTGCAATATTCAGCCAGTCATATAGTATAACGTTACTAGCATGTGCAGGGTCCGAGCAGATCTGTTACCGACACCGGCTCTCCCTGTCCTGTAAATTAAGGACAACCCGGTTTATATCTGGTTGCGCAAATGAGCTGTTGGTAGTGATTGTGCTGCCGGTACAGACAATGCCCAAGGCGATGTGGGTTGCGTTCATTTTCAGCCTCTGCATCCTCCAAGGACCCGGTTTCAAGGATCAGAAGAGAGGACCCAGTTTTCAAAGTAAACAGAAAGGAGATCAGAGTCAGAAGTGGTACTGAAGGGAAATCCAGGACAGAATCAGTTCCAGGTTTGGTTCACAGGCAGAAATTCAGCAGAAGTCGTAAGACAGTTCAGGCAAACAGATCGTTATGGGGATAGCTCAGAGGATCAGTGCAAGAACAGGATCAGGCTATCAGAAACACTTAGTTAAGCTAAAAAAACTCTCACCACATACTTGAATAATCTGGTACTGATGACTGGTTGAAGACTTGTTAAATAGACATCAGCCCCAAGATCAAGACAGTCAGAGAGGACAGGGTTGTGAGGAAATACTGTTATTTCTTCACATTCTATGCCGTATGTCAGCACAAGGTCCAAAGTATGAAGATGAGAATGTGTGGGACTATTCACATTTTGAACAAAGCCAGGTGTCCAGGATAGCATTAAAAGCTGCTCTTAAGCTATCGCCTTCAATGTCAGCATGGATGATAAAATCCCCCACTATGATCACCCCGTCTGGGCAGCCCACATGAACAGTTAGAGGTCCAAGCCATGTCAGGGAAACAGTCCAGAAATGGACGGTTCTGAGATCCAGGAGTCCGTAGCCTGGCCAGGGATTCCGATCCGAATAGGAACAGGCAGGTTCAGGGTTCCATGAGTCCAACAGAGAGTTCAGGCAGAAACGTTCAGATGGAAAAAAGCTAGGCTTAGTATTTGAGATGCAGGACAAGACATGACATCAGAAAAAAACCCACCCAATTTTAAACTGGCTCCCTCCACTGGGCCAAAACAGGAACAGGGTATGCTTAGTGAATGAGATCCCGGACATGATCAGGAAACACTAAGACATGACTAAAAAACCCTCTAACCACTGGAAATCATGGAAATCAGCCATGATTTCCAAATAAAGACATAAAGTCAAACAAACAAACAATCAAACAATGATCTGGCCCCGATATCTGGGCTGAGCCGTAAATAAAGCAGCAGGAGCAGGTGGATGAAAAGAATGATGATTAGTAACTGGGGAGGGTTAGGCAGGTGAGTGAAATTAACAATTAAGTCAGCTATTAGGGCAGTGATCATGACACTTGCTGCAGCCAAGTTTCTGTAAGGCAACATAAATCAACGGGATTATCACAAATCAAGTAGTTAACTAGCAGACTTTTTTAAAGAAAGAGATCTTATGTTAAATAAACCACATTTAATCATTTTAACTTGTATTTAACTTTCCTCGCTTCGGAATGTTTTCTAATTTATTAGATTTTGGTCGCGGGTAAGACGCGCTGGATTAGCTCTCCTGTCTCTGCTCGAGTCTAGCCATTAGTAGCTGCGGCTGCTGGCAACAGGTAGCGAACAGGAAGCTCTTTTAAAAGCTGTGGCAGTGGGGTGTGTCTTCAGGGAGGAGTAGTTCCGGTTACAGAGGCGACATTTGATCTAGTAAGGCTCGGTGCTCGATAGGATCAATGGCACCGCTTTGGTTTGAGAAGCAACATTTATTTTAAAGGATTTGGAATGAGGTCAAATTAGCCTTTAAACCAACTTGGAGCAAAAGCTATGTGTTCAGATTAATTCACAATGCTAATCCAAGAGGTAAATAAAATATTATTTGCTAAAATAATATTCAATGAAATGATTTTTCTGATGAGAAATCAATGACTATTTTGGATAATTTATCCCTGAACTTGTTAACTGACTGCAGAGTCTGTAGATGTGGTGCAGCTTGGCGAGCAGAGCCAGCATTTAGCTCCATCAGTACTTCAAGTTAATCTGACTGCTTTCGGTATAACAGTGTTAAAAAGATGGAGGTCATGGAAATGCAGCTCTAACCGTCTCTGCAGGTGACGGCTTTAAAATGTGAGGAAGCTGATGTTTGGGTTGAAAGTGATGCAGCAGCGATGTGACGGAGCTGAAAGCATCTAATCTGGTTTACATCCAGATTACAGCTGATGGCTGGGAAAGATGATTGACACCAAACTCTCCTGTGGGATGGGGGGGCTAATTTGAAGATGCTAGTTTGTGAAAAAGCTGTCAGTCATCAGGGTTGCTCTACTGACCCCCGCAGCGTGTTTATGGGAAAATATCCAAAGCAACGGCAGCCTTTATGAGAATGTCTGACTCTGCAGTGATGCGATCCATTCAGCCAATCACTGCAGGTTTGATGGCAGAGTTGCGTTAGCGATGCTAAAGTAGGCCAGTCTGCAGAGCACAGCTGCACCCTTAGCTTCCAACCCCGTTTTCCCTTTTCAATCCAAACACAAAGCTCCTAATCGCCGTAGCAACGCTCCACCCTTATCGCTCTCTTATGAGATGTGTTTTTCATTTAACCACATCACATAAACGGCGCGCGTTGAGCCAAACGGCGCAGCTGGAAATAGTCAAACAAAGGAGAGAATATTGCTTTCCAATGATGAAGCCTAAGCTGGTGTTTGTTGTTTATCGGAGCGACAGTCGGGCTCTAATCTGGATCAGTGGTAATTAGTGTTGCTCTCAGGCGGTGAGAAGTTCGTCATTATGATCCTGATGCAGCGTCTGACTTCTCAGCAGAAACAGGATTTGGTGTAGATTAGGTTAAAGCTGCCTTTATGTGATGAAATATTCAAATCCTAGTCTGTGGTGATTTAGGAGTTCACTGCCGGGTTAGCAGAGACGGCTCCACAAAGAGAAACCCCTGGCTGACAGCGATGGGGATGAAAACCCAGCCTGGTGCTTCCAAAGACAAACTAAAGCATCAGCCAACGGCCAAGCGGCCTGCAGATATGGCCGTCTGTCTCAGGCTCTGGCTGCACCCCTTTCTGCATGTGATGCACCCCAACCTGCTGCTCATCTCACTGCCGGCCTTCTTTAACGGAGCAACTCGTCTAATTTGTTGCGATAAATGACATTAGGATTCCTTGGCAGCGTCCTTGTTTAACTCTATTGAATTAGCAGACTGCTGTAACTGACTGGATATTGCTGCTGGGGGGGTTATAGGTGGTCTGAAAAGTGTTGCACCTCGTTATGGCCTGCACCCTCTTTTCATTCGGCTCCGCCTCCTCAGCTGGAGGGCAGAAGGAGATGAGTGTCTCTAATATCTGCCCCCCTTCGGAGAAAGAAGCTCTCACCCGTCTCCACCTCCTTCCTCTCAATGTGCGTCGCTGGTGCTGTTTTATCCACTGCAGCTCACTGTTTAAAATAAACTCAGCACTAATGTTCTTCTCACTTAACCCCATCAAACTTAACCACCTGTTCCTCTCCTACCTGTCTGTTCGCTCCCTTTGTCTCCCAGTGTCTCCATTTGTCTCCCAGTGTCTCCCTTTGTCTCCCAGTGTCTCTGTGTGTAGCGGCGGCCAGCGGCGGCGGCCTCAGAGCGGCGGGGAAGTCAGCCGTCCGCTGTCTGGGCTGGAGCTGCTGTTCAGCAGCTGATCTCTGACTCTAACATGCTGCTTTAGTTTGTCCTGATATCGGTCAGACGCTGAAGGAAAACTCTGAGTTTCCACCTTGAAACTTTCTCTCTCTAAGCTTCTTCTCCTGAGCAGAGATCGCTGAAAACAAACTCCTTAAATAACATTTTTCACCTCAAAGATTCTCCCATAAAAAAAAAACATTTAAAAATGAGAAATGAATATTTCCATAACTTCATGCAGCATAAAACGCTCCTGTCATTCCTACTTAATGTTTAAAGAGGGTTTAAACATTTAAAAACAGAATTAGAAGTCTAATAAAACCAATTCACAAAACTAGACTAAAATAAAGATGAAATTAGCTTAAATCAGGCCTGAATAAATGAATGAGTGGGTGAATGAGTGAATGAATGGGTGAATGGATGAATGGGCGAATGAGTGAGGGAATGAATGAATGAATGAA